TGCCCCTGTGACACACCCCCTCTACCAAGGCCACACCCTGTGATCCTTCCCAAACAGTTCTGCCTGCTGGGGACCAAGTATTTAGACCTCTGAGCTTATGGGAGGGGGTGGTTCTCAGTCAAGTCACTCAGCAGCTCAGTAGTCTCAGATTGCTCAAAAGCCCACGTCTGAAGACTCTGCTGAAGTTCAAGGTTGACTCTGCAAAGTTCTGTGAAATTCAAAACGTAAGTTATCATCAGGACGCAGTGGTGAGGTAGCCATGGGCTGATCACTGCCCTTTCAAAAAGGATTGCAGGCATAGAAGAGAGATGGGACCAAAGCAGGTTGAAACTCAAGGGGGCAAACATTAAATCCCGCTGCTCGGTGTTTGGCTTCTGGGTCATGTCGGTAGGACGTGGGCTCTGAAATGTTGCGTGTATGTGGAGTGTGGGCCGCTGAAGGGTCCTGTGTGGGTGGGATGGGGCCTCTGAAGTCTTGAGAAGTTAGCCAGACAGCTTTCTGGCTGCAGTTCTCCTGATGTCTCAGGCTGACTCGGTTTACCACCTGTAACTTTCCTCGGCAGATGTTCACGCTCCTGGCGTCTCCAACGCCCTGAGGTATCCACTAGAGTTGGGCATAATGCTGCCTGCCCTCCAGCCTCATACATTGCCTTCTCACGGTTGCCTCCAGGGATTCGGACCTGGCCACACACTGCCTGGCTTTCCTTTGAGATCTCTGCGGAAGTCTCTGGGGCTCACAGCTCATGCCCTCTACACACCTGCCTCACAAATGTTCTGTGAACTCGCCGCTAAGTAAAGGAGGTTGGAAAATGAAGAGGCAGGAACCATGAATTCCATACCTGTGTACTCAGAAGTGGGAACTGACCTAGGGCTGCTTGGCAGATCCACAGCTGCTTAGGGATGGGGAAGGAGATGGGAGGAGGAAGTGCTGATGGAACCAGAGGACTCTGGGGACAATCAGAGTGGGACCTTGAAGCTTCTGGTTTTTAGGTGGGTTCATCCTGAGCCATGACAGAATCTCCAGTTAGGCATTGCTGAGGCTGGACTGCAGCATGGTACACCCCAGATTCTAGAAGAATTGATTTAAAGTCCATAACTTCTGGCATGCTGCAGTGACATTGTTTCTTTTCTTTTTTTTCTTTGCTTTTTATTTTTTTTGTTTTTTTCAAGACAGGGTTTCTCTGTGTAGCCCTGACTGTCCTGGAACTCCCTCTGTAGACCAGGCTGGCCTCAAACTCAGAGATCCGTCTGCCTCTACCTCCCGAGTGCTTGGATTAAAGGTGTGCACCACGACTGCCCGGCACAATGTATTTTCTTAATCTACTCTCCCTCTCTTATTGAGTGTTTCTCAATTTTTATTTTTAGAAATGTGGCTCCCCAAAAGAGCTTCTTTAGGTATTTTTCTAATAATTGGTCCCTTTTTGGTGGAATTATAATACAACAAAATGTTGTACATTTATTTACTTTTGTTGTATATGTGTGTGTATATATTATATCTATCTATCTATCTGTTTGTATGTATATGTATATATCATGGTCTTCTGTAGGGGCACACACTGATATGACAGCTAAGATTTCGCAGCGGGGTGGAATAAAAGAACAAAGTCTCGCCCCATTGAGGGTGTTATTGACTCCTGGGGATACATGTGTTATCCCTCAGGAAAAAAAAAGAAGCAGGAACAAAGCAGTATGTAATTAAAATGTAAATCTACACAATTTAATTACCCGTGTAGTGACACAAGCGAGTCTCTGGAATTGTTTCCTCAGCATTGCGCACTGTTGTGTAATAGATTAATGAAAAAGGGGGGAGGGGTGCCGAATGACAGGCGTGGGCAGAGAGCTTTCAGGCCAGGGAAACCGCAGTCTCTACATTTGTGACCAGAGCCCTCTGCTGTGCATTATGGGGACATTCTTCAGGAAGTCAAGTTTAGCCCCTTCCTTTAGCTATTATTTTAGCCTCACCAGACTTGTGTTGGGGGTTAGGTGTGGCTCTGAGGTCTACTGAGACAGAAACGCACCGTGGCTAGTGGTAACCTTAGGATTGAGGATCAGTTTTCTCTCGGCCCCAAATTTCACCTCCACACACCCCCAAGTCTGTTTTCATGGGCTTCAGAGAAAGACACCTTCTTAGGCTCTGAGGCGGTACGGTCTGAAGACCAGCGGTAGGCAGGAGTGACTCCATAGAAGAAGTTGGAGACATTTAAGGGACTGCTACCTTTCAATGTCCCTATTCTAGAAGCTGGAGGGGGCGGGTGAGGATGACTTTAGTCAAGCCCTGTCTGTGTAGTCTTGCTGCGGGAGATTGTTCCTCAGAGATGGAGAAATACTAGGGTGGGGTGGGGTAGCAGGAGTCTCCCTGTGACTTCTCAGGAGGGTGGCACACCCAGGGAAGGTTAGACTAGAGGAGAGGACCCAGGAGGCCTCACAGCAGATCTCAGAAAGGTCGATTTTTCTGAAGCACCCCACCTTCCTTTTTGGGACCAGAAGTATGAGAGGAGGCACCCAGCTTCAGAGGGTAGCCAGGGATGAGCCATGGCTCTATTAGCACCCCAGACAGATCATGACCGAGCCTCAGCAAGCAGGATATGATTCATGACCCTCCTGCCCACCTGTCCTCAGCTCTTCCCAGGTGTTTTGCTGCTGTGAAACTGAAGAGCACAAGGGGAAGCACTCAAAGGTGCCGGCCAGGGGCTGAAAAAGCCACACCCACTGCCCCAGGCATCGCTCTTCAGCAGTTCTGTTGATCTCCTCGCCAAGGCGGTCACTTACCTAGCTTACCCAGCCACCATTTATTCCTGGTTATATTTATTTATTTACTATGTATACAATATTCTGTCTGTGTGTATGCCTGCAGGCCAGAAAAGGGCACCAGACCCCATTATAGATGGTTGTGAGCCACCATGTGGTTGCCGGAAATTGAACTCAAGACCTTTGGAAGAGCAGGCAAAGCTTTTAACCTCTGAGCCGTCTCTCCAGACCTCCTGGTTATTTATTGCCTAAGCACCCTGGCTCTTTAGGTTTCACCCTGGGCCCAGGAGGAGAAAGAGTGCAACAATAAACATTTAAAGGGAACGTGGAAAAGAAAAGGAAAACTGGGATTTATATAGTCTTATGACTTAGGTGAGGCTGTATCAGTCTGGACTGTAGATGATAGGTTTATCGCCAGCCTAGAGGGTTGCTGAAGGGCCCAAAGTAAGTCTGAACATTAGTCCACCTGCCCAACTTCTTCTAGAGCGTGACCCTTGTCCTATATTCTCAGTCACAGGGACAACAGTTAGTTAAAAATTTAAGACTCCAACTGTGTTAAGAGCTATGTCAAGATAACCACAGACTCATGTAAACAAGCTTCTACAAATCTCATTAGGCTTGCACAAATACCTGGTTCTCAAAAGTTGTAAATCTCCAGAATGTAGTCACCCAGGATTTAAGTTCAAATTGTAAAAATTCTTTCTCATACATTGTCCTCGCCCCCCCCCCCGTGATTTTTGCTTTAAAAAGAACCTACTCCCTCTCTTCGGGGTCACAGTATAGATCCTGACTTGCCTGTGGTCCTGACTAGGTACCCCAGGATGATGAAATAAAGTTGCTTCTGCTCATCTAACTTCGGTGACCTCATCCTCATTATTTGTGTGACTCCCAGACCCAACATTGCTACGTTTTGACTGTGCCCCCCCCCCAAAACCTTGTGTTGGAAAGTGAGTCTGAATGCAATGGTGTGGTGGTGGTGGGGTATTCTGGGTACAAGGGATAGATTAACGCCAATGACAAAAGTCAGGGCTTTGCTTTGTCTCCACCCTTTGTCCCCCTCTCCCTTCCACTCTTCCTTCTACTGTCCGCTGCTAGATGAAACAGACGCTCCTCACCAGACTTAGCCTCTGAAACTGTGAGAATTAAATTTGCCTTCACTGTAAACTCTTCAACCTCGGGTACTCTGTTACAGCAGCAGCAAACGGCGAAGATAAACAAGGGCCGAAGTCACAAGTGAGTGCCCAAAGTTGCCCCCACCCCACTCCATTCGTGGAAACCCCACATGACCGCTGTGCCTGTAGCCAGTGAGCTCCATGTACTGGCAGCCAGAGGATCTGGAGACCAGGCAGAGACCGACCAAAGTCAGGTGAAGACACATCATCTCCCGCACTGTGCTCTGTGCACAGACGGCCTCACATTTAGCTTTAGTGTGAAAGAGGAGGAGGTAGATGAGGAGAAAATAATCCCAAAGACGACTGAGTTCTCTGAGGGGGTAGGATGTTACAGAATTTGTTTCTCTTTAACAAGAGTGGGACAATCTCTGGAAAGGGAAGTCAGACTGGCATACGTGTGGTGGGACCAGGGCCTTGGAGCTTCCAGGGCTTAGGTCTTTTCTCTCTGCTTTCCAGAAAGGAGATGCCGTTCTGCATAGTGTATCCATTCCTTTGAAAAGTCAGACCTTTATTTTTCAGACATTATAGATCCACACAGCTATGGGGCTAGGGAGAGGGCTCAGCAGTTAAAGTCTCAGTGTGTAAGAGGGGACTTGGTTTTGGATCCCCAGAACCACGTGTCAGATGTGGAGGGGAGGGCTGTTCATTATCCCTATAGTCTTAAAACTGGGCTTTTTGATGTTGTTTTGTTTTGCAACAAGGTCTTTGTGCATAGGCCTGGCTGGTCTGGAACTCTCTCTGTATCGACCTCAAATTCATAGAGATCTACCTGCCTCTGCCTCTGAAGTGCTGGGATTAAAGGCATGCACCCAGGTCATAAGTAGGATGTTTAAAAGTTCACCTTCCCCCTAGACAAAATTCCACAGAAGTTGAATTCAATACACGACTCACCATTACAAAGTCACATTTTATTGTATATATGTATCCAAATTCCCTTTTCAGCTGACTTTAAATTTCTTTCTTCTTCCTCCTCCTCTTCTTCTCTTTTATAATCTGTTGTTAGATTTAGGGATTTTGTGTGTTTAAAATTTTATTGTATGTATTATTAGAGTGTGTGCATGCGTGTGTGTGTATGCACGCATATGTGAACATATGTGTGCCACAGTGCATGTTTGGCATCAGAGGACAACTGTATAGAGTCAGTTCTCTCATTCCACCTTTACATAGGTTCCAAGAATCAACTGACGTCATCAGGCTTGTGAAGCAAGAGCCCTTACCACTGAGCCACCTTGCTGGCCACCGCACAACCTTTTAAACTTAGCATTAAATGACCCCCATCTTTAGCATAGAGATTCATTGCTCATGTTGCTTCCATTAGCTGCTCCTGGCATCTTCTTTACTTTGATTGCTTAGATTCCTAATTTTTTTTTTTTTGGTCGTTTCCACTTTAGTTCTTTTTTCTTGGTCAATGTCCTCTTTATTATGGAAAAAAATTAAATAAACTTCTAGGAAGCAAAGGAGAGAATACGATGAAGAAAATCAAGATGGGTAGGCTGTTTGTTACAACTGAATCAGTAGCCGAAATTATCCTTGTTATGAAAGATCCATATTTCATTTTCTGTTAAGAACAGATGGCGTTCTGTTATCTGTCATGTAATGAGTTGCACGTCACATCTGAAATATAACTTCTAGTTAGACAATATTTCCACAAGGACATTTCTCTCCATATTCATTAAAAGTTTAGATTTTTTTCCTTCAACAACATTGAATACCTGTTGAAAGCATTCATGTGTTTGAAACATTCTTAGGCTTTCCATCCTACATTGATTGTCTCGTTCCTATCACTTATAGCCTGTCAGTGAATGCTTTCCTATACCTGTTGCCATGGTAGCATCATTCCCCACTCTTGGATTTTGTTGATGTTCAGCGAGCTTCACTCGTCGATTCTGGCGTCTGTCCGTGAAGGCTACTGGAAGATGCTTTCTTCTTGTGTGTTTTTCTCTGATGCTTGGTAAGGGCTGACCTCTGGCTGAAGCTTTTCTTGCATTCGCTGCACTCGTAGGGTTTTTCCCCGGTGTGAATCCGCTCGTGCTTTGTGAGGGCAGATTTCTCGTAGAAGGTTTTCCCGCACTCGGAACACTTGTAGGGTTTCTCTCCTGTGTGGGTTCTCTGATGCACGACGAGGTTGGACTTGACACAGAAAGATCGCCAGCACTCGCTGCATTTGTATGGCTTCTCTCCGGTGTGAGTCCTTTGGTGCTGTGTCAGGTTCGATTTCACGCAGAAGGTTTTCCCACACTCGTTACACTTGTACGGTTTCTCCCCTGTGTGGGTTCTCTGGTGTATCTTGAGGGCGGATTTTTGGCAGAACGACTTCCCACACTCGCTGCACTCGTACGGTTTCTCTCCGGTGTGAGTCCTCTGGTGTTCAGTGAGGTTTGCCTTCACTAGGAAGGACTTGTCGCACTCGTGGCAAGCGTAGGGTTTGCTCTCTGGGTGTGAGCTCTGGTGTTGGGTAAGACCTGCTTTCTTAGCACAGCTTTCCTTACATCTGCGACACTCATGGGCTTTCTGACCCTTGCAAGCACTCTGATTTTCACCCAGGGGTGACTTCCCACTTTCCTCCCCCTCATCAGGTTCCTCCTCCAAGGATGGTCTCTGGTGCTGAGCACATTTGGATCCCTTGAGGACGGAGGTCGGGGATGTCTTGCATTCATTACCTTTGCGTTTTTTCTCTTTTGGGGTAGTTATCTGAGTTCGGGCTGGACGTGACTTCTTTAAGGCTGTGTGGCTGTCGGCACACTTGGGTTTTTCTGGTGTGCAGGTTCTCCGGTTCTGAGTAAGGCATGGTTTTCTGTGAAGGGTTTCCCCACATTTCCCACATGAATTTTCTCCCATGTGCATTTTCTCATTTTGGCTGTGGGGTGAGTTTCTTAAGGCTCCCTCACTTCCATTGAGTTCGCCAGTCTTTCTTCCTGATTGCACTCTTTCATGTCGGGTAAGATTTGACTTCTCACGACAGGATTTCTCAAACGTATCACATCCACAGTGCTTTTCCCTTGGGTGAGTTCTTGGATGTTCATGTTTTGACTTCACGCAAGAGGATTTTCCACCTTTGCTGGCCTCTTGTGCCTTCCTTTCTCGAAGGGTTCTTAGAAAAGACTGGAACCTGATCTTGTGGGCGGTGGCTTGTGCGCACTTACTATCCTGAGAGGCCTCCTGTCCTGTGTGAGCTTCCTTGTGCATAACAGGGCCTGTCTTTCTGTCTGAGGTCATCCCAGAATTTGAACATCCAAGAAGCTGCTCCAAATGCGAGGCCTTCTGAAGTGGAGCAAGGCCCTTGGTAGGACTGTGGGGTCTCTTTCTTTGATCAGCTTCCCAGGTTTTGCTTCCTGTGTGATCTTTTTCACGCTTACTTTCAAGGGACTTAGACTCACCTAAACCATCAAACTTTTTTGCATAGTTTGTGTTATCAGTAATTAGTCCTTCAACGTTTCCCAAGCTTGCTGAGTGACACTTACAGTGTATTTCTCTTGAGGCCACTGAGTTTGTGGTCAGACAAACTATTTCTTTTAGATCCTTGCTTTTCTTCTTAGTTAGTGTTTTCTTGTTGACAAATAAAACTTGACTCAAGTATTCGTCTTCATTTCCTTGGCTTGTTGTCATGTTATTGGCTCCCCGGACTTCTAGGAACATGAGAAGTCAACATATATTATACATCAAAATACAATGCTAAAGGAAAGAGTCTGCACACACATGTCTTATGCCGACTTGATTCTGGGCTTTCTGAGACACTCTGCTGGGAAGGAAGCCATTTTAAGCAGGCGTTTCATCTAGACTTCTCATTGGGTAATATGAAAATGAAGACAAAAATGCATGATGGAGGAGAAAGTGGAAGGGAATGAAGAAAATAACACCAATAGCTTTGGTTTCTTACAAACATGGCCACTAAGTGACTAGAGAGCTAGAAATAAAACTCAGCTGGCAACAAAGACTGTCAGACAAAGGACTCAACCACAGATGGAGGGCACTAAAAACTGAAGCAAGGTCAGGGAACACTAACAGTGAGCCCAGGAGAACTGAAAGGCACCCAAGAGATGTGTAGCCCGAGAGGCGCATCGGACCTAATTGCTGCAAAAGGATCACTAAGCCACGCTCCACGCTTCCAGGCCTCTCTGTTCCACCCTGCACACCGCCGCCCAAGCAAACTTATGGAATCACTCATTTTCTCAGGCCTGAAGGTCGATGTTAGGCTGGGCCTGTTGTCATGGGAAGACACGGGCTGTAGATTCTGTGGGAGATCCTGGACAGTGTAAAATAAGGAACGGAGTCAAGCGCTAGGATGAGTTAGTGAATGTAGGTGTCACGTGACCAGCGCTTCATGCTTCCTCTCCTGTGACTCCCCTGCTGGGAGGGACTAGACCTGAACTGTGAGCCCCAAAATCCTTTCCATCCTGGAACTGCTTCCGCCGGGGCATTTTCATCACAGCAACAGCAAAAGAAACCAAGACCATCTCTAACTATCGACTTCTACCCCAAAGGGGTGTCCACTTTTGCCATCACATTTACCCCAAGTCCTCAGTTTACTTGGAGACTCACATGTACTATATTATTGTACTATACAATAATATATTATACATATTAATAATATATTATAATAATATAATATTGTATTATAATATACTATTGTATATTCTGTGGGAAGGGACAAAAAAGCATAATGGCAGGCATCCCCCACTACAGTAAAACATCATGAGAGGTTTCCCTGCTCTGTGTGCTCTACCTGTTCACACCCCGCCCCAGTCCCTAGCAACCACTGTATTGGGATTCCCCCTTCTACTACCATCCCCTTGTTTCTGAGTTGATTCTCTGGTTCCCTCTCCCATCCTGGATAGGTGGTACTTTGCCATCTCCCTTGCTAGGGTACAATCATAGTCTGCATTGCTGATTTCCAAGCTCAGGCCACAAGGTGTTGTCTCTGACCTGTTCTCTCATCTGTCACCTTGTTAAGTGCAATGAATTCTGCAGGCCTGTGACCACCCCAGCAAAGTCCCAAACAGCTAACTCTAAGCCTTCTTTATCTGAACCCAGCAGCCCTCAGTCCCATCAACTTCTCTGTTGCTGCTTACCACACTAAGCCTGCCTCCTGTCTCCGAGGCTTGGCACTCTGCCCCCCATTCCTGTGCAGATGTTCATTTCCTCAAGGAGGCTTCAGAACCTCTTGGAAGCGCCCTGGCCATCTCCTTCTCCATCATCTGACTTGAATTTTAGCAGTTCTGAGAGTTACTGGCCCTCATCTGTACGGATTTGCTACCTGGACCTTTTGATGGGGATGGGGATTTTGTCCGTGTCTTCCATGCTAGAATGGAACTGGGCCCTGGCAGGCGCTTAACTGATACTTGTCGAATACAGGAACACATGAATGGATGCAGGATGCACAACTAGAGCATTTGGTACTGGAGGCAACACAAATGCGAGCTACGGTGCATCAAACAGGCAAAGATGTTTATTTGTCATCTCTATCTATCCTCTCTCTCTCTCTCTCTCTCTCTCTCTCTCTCATCTATATATCTATCTATCTATCTATCTGTCTATCTATCTATCTATCTATCTATCATCTATCCATCTATCTATCTGTCTGTCTATCTATCTATCTATCTATCTATCTATCTATCATCTATATCTATCTATCATCTATCTATCTATCTATCTATCTATCTATCTATCTATCTATCTATCTATCTATCTATCTATCGAGACAGGGTCTTAATGTATAGCCCTGGTTGGCCTGGAATTCTCTGTGTAAGCCAGGCTGTACCACCTGCCTCTACCTCCCAAATGCTTCTATCAAAGGTGTGAGCCACCACACGCAGCCTGCAGAGAACATCTCTACTTTCGGGGTGGATATCAGGCCGTGAGCATTTCTCTTTATCTCTTTGAAAATTCTAGAGCCTCTCAAAGATATTCTTTTTGTTGTTTATTTGTTTGTTTCTGTTTGAGACAGGGCCTCGCTTGGCCGGGGCTGACCTTGAACTACTGACCCTCCTGCCTCTGTGCTGGGATTATAGGCCTGGGCTGTGCTGTGCTTTTTATGCTCTGCTAGGGATCAAAGCTGGGGCTCTGGGCCTGCTAGGCAAGCACTCCACCAACTCGGCCACAGACACATTCAAAGGAAGCGAGCCTTGCCCTGGCCACCCAGGCTCTACCCTCTTCCTCCTCCTTGACATCAACTCACCTGAGAGGCAGAGACCTGGAGATTCCCAAGGACCTTCTCCCTGTTCCAACTTGCGTATCAGCTCAGGTTTGGTGACACTGCAGCCTGTGACGAGAAGATGACAAAGGCTTGACAAGATTGCTCAGGCCTGAGGGACGGGTACATACTCATGAGTCTGTGGTGTGTTTCACCAAAGCCACTGGCTAAGTTCCTGGGGGAGAGCGGGCCATGTGTATTTATCTTGTCGCTGCTCAGACCAGGCTGAGTCCTTGACTGGAGGCGCAGGCACTCGGTGGGTGACTGTGCACATGAGTGCAGATAGGAGGGGGCTTCAGACCCCCAGGAGCTGCAGCTTCAGGCAGATGGGAACTGCCCCATGTGGGGGCTGGGAATTGAACTCAAGTCCTCTGGGGAGCATCAGGCACTCTTAAGTACTGAGCCCCAGGCTTAAAACTTTACCCTTGACACTAATTTGACTTCTAAGATAAGGAGCACAAGCTGATGGGAGCAGCGTGGGAGGCGGGGCTTACCCACGGCTTGCAGGTGCCTGTAGGTCTCCAGCATCACCTCCCTGTACAGGCGCCTCTGGGCAGCATCCAGCAACTGCCATTCCTTCTGAGTGAAGGTCACACACACATCTTTGAAGAACACTTGTCCCTGCAACAGAACTGTGGGGCTCAATTGGGAGGGCTCACCACAAAGTACCAGGAGAGACACCTAAGGCATGTTGCCATTGCACACCAGAAAACAGCGTAAGGTTACCTCATGTCCGCTTCTGTGTGTTACATTTTGGAGGACAAATGGCATCACCACAGAAACACCAGGAAAGTCAAATTCACAGATTAACTCATAAAGCAATAGTGTAGACCTGGGCCTGGTCTGGCTGTGGAGGACACTTAAGCAAGCAAGCCTGGGAGCTCACTTTTAAGGATCTTACAGACTTGAGATTTCCTATGCATACAGACAGCAAGGAACTGTGGGAGATGTACTTCTTTCTTTAGCTCACCAGTCACCAAGCGTGTGTGCATGTGTGTGTGTATTGTGTGTGGTGTATATATGTGTGTATGTATGTGCATGTTGTGCATATGTGTGTATGTGTTTATACATGTGGATGTCTCTGTATGAATGTATATGGATGTGTGTATATGGATGTGTGTATGAGAATGTTTGTGTGTGTGAGTCCATGTGCATGTATGTTCATTCCAGTGTGAAGGTGCAGACTCACACATGCCCTGATGTGTGCGTGGTGGTCACAGGACAGTCTTTGGATGTCGTAGACACTGCAGGCCAGCTGGCTGTGGGCTTCTGCGGTTTCCTGGCTCTGCCTCCCGTCTCCTGGCGGGGAGCGCACTGGGATTACTGACGCTTGTGCTACATCCCCTGAGTTCTACATGGGTTTTCAGGAATGAACTCCAGCTGTCAGGTTTGTGGGGCGAGCGCCTTTACACCCTGAGTCATCTCCCTAATACTAACTGAGCAACCTTCACCCCCACACATACTGCCATCCCCCTGCCTCAGCCCCCCAGTGCTGGTATTACAGGCATATGTCTCCAGTGAATACCCTCCACCTACACACAAGCTGCCATCCCCCTGCCTCAGCCCCCCCAGTGTTGGTATTACAGGCATATGTCTCCAGTGAGGACCCTCCACCCACACACAAGCTGCTATCCCCCTGCCTCAGCCCCCCAGTGCTGGCATTACAGGTGTATGCCACCATGCTTGGTGTTTTAAATACGGGAGCTGGAGATCTGAACTCAGGTCCTCATGCATAGCCGGCACTTCACCCTCTGAGCCTCTTCCCAGCCTTCGGTCAGGGTTTGGTTGCCTGCGAACAGCAAGCTCTGAGACCGCACAGCTGACATTAGAGGAGTCACAGGAAGAGAGGTGCGGCAGGAGGGGACCGGAGGCCTGGGAGACCAGAACAGTTCAGGTGGGGTTCAGACAGTTCAAACATCAGGAAAATGACTTTTCTTCTGGAGGCCAGTGGCTTCCATCAGTACATCCCTTGGCAGTCTTCAGTGTATACATGCAGTCCACAAGCCAAAGGTCAACGGCCTCGTGGGGGCGGGGGGACCACACACACCCCAAAGGCGGTAGCTATTCCAGTATTGTCCCAACACACCTCTGACTTGGCTTGCTCACTCCTCAGGGTGCATAGCCCTTCTTGGGGATCATCTCTCTGGACAGTGGAGACACACAGTCAATTCAACAAGCACAACTCGATTTATATTTTGAAAGCAACACTCCAGAAGCGTATTGGAGATTGACTAGAGAAACTGATTCTTGGGCTAGAGAGATGGCTCGGTGGTCAAGAGCACTGGCTGCTCTTGTAGATGACCTGGTTATGAGTCCAGCACCCACATGGAGGCTTACACGTCTTTAATTTCAGTTCCAGGGGTCCAGTACTCTCTTCAGGACTCTTTGACCATGTAGACAACACACCCATATACATTTTGAATTTATAAACAAACAAATGATTGAGTGAATGAGTGAATGAATGAGTAACTGGTTCTCCATCGCCGCTGATGCGGCCTCCCTGGGGCATCTGGCAACATCTGTGGGCATCGTACTCTAAACTGAGAGGGTGCTGCTGCCATCTAGTGGCTCCATCCAGATACACAGCTAAACACCCTACAACAAAGGACTACCCCACCCTGAGTGGCCAGGTTTCAATGAGTACTAAAGGACTGTGGTAACAGAGTGGTAACTATGGTAATGAGCCTTGGCAGTCGGGATGAGGGTGCTGAAACAGAGTCTACATAGAGTTAAGCAGGGAAGAAGAGGAAAGGAGCTTTGAAGGTGGTGAGTAGACTTGGGGCTGGGGCCACATAATCTAGTGAGTGGGCTTGGGGCTGGGCCATGTACTCTAGTGAGTGGGCTCGGTGCTGTGTTATATACTCTAGTGAGTGGGCTCGGTGCCGGGTTCACGTACTTTAGTGAGTGGGCTCAGTGCTGGGGCCACGTACACTAGTGAGTGGGCTTGGTGCTGGGTCACGTACTCTAGTGAGTGGGCTTGGTGCTGGGTCATGTACTCTAGTAAGTGGGCTCGGTGCTGGGGCCACATACATTAGTGAGTGGGCTCAGTGCTGGGGCCATGCACACTAGTGAGTGGGCTCGGTGCTGGGTCACATACTCCAGTGAGTGGGCTCGGTGCTGGGGACATGTACCATCCTAAGATGGGACTGAGAAAACCAAAGAATGCATCAGGGAGAGAGGGAGAGACAAGAAAGGGTGAGGGAGGAAGGGAGTGAGAGAGAGGTGTGGGGGTCCCTGGGCACGTTGTACTCTAGGGATGAGAAACACATGTGGTAGAGATGTCCAGGTGACAGGTGGGCATAAGAGAAGCCTGGACCATGAAGAGAGACAAGGGACAAACCCACATTTTAGAGATCAGGCCTATTTCAACAGCATCCAGAACTGCTAGGTCGGAAACCGTTCACAAAGAACCCTGAGGCTGGAGCAAAGGCAGATGACCCGTGCAGACAATGAGCAGGCCCTGAAGCGCAAAAGGGACCAGAAGCAGGACTTTTGATCCACAGTGGCCCTCAGAAATGACAGTTTCAAGAGTGAGTGAGTGACTCTCCAGTTTGTGTCAAGTACACCTCTCCCTTCTGCTCCACGGCATCTTGAGAGAGAAGCAGGGAAGCAAGCCTCAGGCTTATCCGACAGAGGAGAGCATGGAGGGTCTGTGGGCAGGCCAGGCCTTTCTATTAGCTTCTGGCAAGCAGTGAGTGGTGGCAGGCACCTCGGCTACTTGTTTGCCTCACACCACAAACACAGGCTGGGCAGTGCCTCAGGTTTCCCCACAGGGCCTAGCAAGGCCTTTAGGCTTATAAGGTTCAGAGACTGGGGTTTGAGCAGAGCTGTGATCAGCAGATGGACTGCCAGGATTCTGGGCAGATTCTTACCCCTGATGATTGGTACTCAGGAAACCATTCCCTAGGACAAGTAGTAGACTGTCCCCTAGAGTCTGTGAGAATTCTGAATCCAGTCAGGAGCCGAGAACTAGGCACAGTACCCTGACTGACATGGTACTACTTTCCTTCAGGGTCATTCTGGGGAGATACACCATTAAGTAGGTTCTGTTCTCTTTGTCAAAGGAGGGGTCCCCTCTCTCAATCCATACACACACTCAACATCCTAAGACATCTCCTGGCACCTTGTGCACAAGGCCCCAGGCCAGGCGTCCACCTCACGGGAAAGCTGGCCAGAAAACTCAGCTCCATGTAGCAGAGAAAATGCAGGCCAGTCACCTGAGCAGCCAGCTGGGCAGCTGCAGTGAGGCCTCTGCCTTCCTCGGCACAGGAAACAGAAAAGGCCGGTGGCTCCTGAGAGAATCACAGCCCAACAAGTGAGCTGGGGCAGGGACTCGTGGATCACAGAACAAACGCAGCAGGAACAAGAAGCTGTAGCCTAAAAGCCCTGAGATGGGAAGGGAGCTGAGTTTAAAATATTGAGGAGCTAGCTGGGGCATAGCTCAGTGGTAGGGTGCTTGCCTGGAACATGCAAGGCCCTAGGTTCAGTCTCCACTACTGGAAAAAAAAAGGTAGATCCTGAAGAAATAATGTTGGACTGGCAAGATGGCACAGTGGGTAAAGGCGCTTGCTGCCAAGCCTGAGTTGGGTCCTCAGAGCCATGTGGTAGAAGGAAAGGACTGGCTCTGAGACAGGCCCTCTGACCTCCACTTGTGCACAGAGGCATGCGCTCCCCCAAATTAAAAAAAAATACATAAAGTTTTTAAGGAAAATATTTAAACATTCAAGTCAGTGTCTCCAAGCTGATATAAGGATGGGCATTTTCTATGAGAAAAGAAAGGACAGAGAAATGCTAAGTATTTTCTTGTTGATTGGAGAAAATAGAAAAACAACCCCCTCAGGGAAAACAGGAGAACAGAATGCTCAAGAGATAACCCTCTTATGGAAGCTGGAAGTGAGGAGAAGGAAGCGAGGGGATCCCGATGGTGGGGGCGGGGCTTGGGAGGGTTATCTGGGTGGCCAGGGCAGAGGAGGAGGCAGGAAGAATGCACACGCGGGAGGAACTGGGGAGTCTTCAGGACCGGGGCAGGGCTTCTCTCTGCAGGGATAGGCTGGAGGAAGGAGAGACGAGCAGGCGTGATGGCCTGGTGAAGTACCTGACACCAGAGGCCAGGTGAGAAAGAGGAGGTGACAGTTACAAAGTCACAAGAGCCACCCACTTCTTTCTCCCAGACTCCCTGAGTGTTCCCTCATTCACAGGACTGAGCAGGACATGGGCATTTCAGGTTCAGAGGGCAGACCAGCAGTCACGCTGTGCAGTGTGCACCACAGCCTCCATCCAAACTCAGCAGAATCCCACAGAGAACAAAGCCCATCTCCAGGCAACGGAGGCAACGGAGGCAACGGAGGCAACGGAGGCAGATGGCCAGCCTGCGAGCGCTGTTGTGTCCCATGAGAGGCGCACAAAGCCAGGAATCATGGGTACCAAGCCTGAAGGACAGCTGCCACAGGAAGTGGTGCTGAGGCTGAAGCAAGCCACACCCCCCGTAGCCATCTGGGATGAAGTCATAAAATCAACCACTGCTTCTCAGGAGAAACCACACCGTCAGCACCAGGGGCCAGCAAAGAGAGCCTCAAACTCCCTTTCCACCTAAATGGGGCTGGGGTTGATAATGAAGATGCATGGCTCCCAGTGGCCAGAGGAGCAAAAATACAGTTTTTAAAGGCTTAGCATGTGGGCTAGGACATAAAAAGGCAAAAATTAGCTCTCAGAACTTGGGCTGGAGGTGGCCTCCAAACAACCCAACATCTAAGGTGCAACTTTGGGATTATGTCGTATGAAAAGTTGATCCAGCAGTCTATAGCCCTCAGTAGAAAGGGTATAATAAAAGTGTGTACTCGATAATGCTGTCAGACTCACATAAAGTAATTCAGGGAGGGAAGTTAACAGTGACTGGAACATTGTACATAGCACTAGAGATGGGACCAGTGAGTTAACTCCATGGGTAAGGAAGCTTGCCACCAAGGCTAACCACCTGAATTTGACCCCCCATGACCCAGAGGGTGAAAAGAGAACCCCCCACAAATTGTCCTCTGACCTCCACAAGAACACTGCAGCATGCACACACTCCTCCCACCACCTACATAAATAAATACATTCTAAAATAATCATATTACAGCTGATAAACTATTGCCATTTTGTCATTCTATGCCATAAAAAGGAAAGCAAAAATTACCAGAAAATGCATGTTCAAATTTAAAGTATTATTGTTTAAGTGGGTAGAAGGTACACGACAAACGGTTAAAATGTGTGTTATACAAGGGAAGACGAAAGTGAAAAGGTAGAATGTTTCCATAAAACCAACACTCAAGACCGCTGTGCGCATCCATGTGACGTCACAGGTGGAAACAGTTCCTGAAACAAACAGCAAAAGGAGGATGCCAGGAAAGTGAGGATGTGGTCAGAGGAATGGAGATGACCGGAAAGGAAGCGCGGTTACCAACAATGCAAAGAAACTCATATGAGGAACAAGCAGGGATTCACCTGGGCTGTGTTCATGTCCGTCTGTCCTTGAATACTGCAGAGGCTGTGGAGAAGGAAGAGGGTAAAAGCCATGAGAAATACTGTCACTGTCAAGGTCCTCAGAGCCTTGCTGACAAATGACTACATGGGGGTGCGATGTCACCCCGACCCTTCAGATGGGTGAGTAGATGGATGCTCGGGAAGTTTTATTGCTACCTGGAGCACAGAGAAAGTGGTCTTTCATCAGGAAAGCCAGCACTGGCTTCCTCCCAGCGTTTCACAGTGATCATGGCCTCTTTGGCTTTGGCAGCAAGCAGACAGGCACAGCATCACATTAAGCTGGGAAAGAGACAGCTAAGCAAATGATTAGAGCAACTAACTCAGGTCCTCTGCGTGTTTTGATGTATGGAGTTTAATCTTATGAACAAAGGGTAGCAGTGTATCGAGCATCGTGATGCCAGCACTCAGGAAACAGAGGCAGGAGGATGCAGCATTTGAGACCAGCCTGAGCTACATGGAAGGCCCTGTTTCAGACAAACAAACTACAAACCAATAAGATAATCTTATAAAGGAAGGTGGGAAGGAGAAAGGGTATGAACATGTGTTTAAGTGCGTGTGTATATACGTATGTGTGTGTACATGCTGGGGGTGGACAGACAATAAGACTGTCTCTCCCTAGCTCGATATGTAACACACACTCAGGAGTTATTATTCAGGTGTTTTCTACTTTTGTATGTTTTGAATATTTCTGCAATAAAAGGTGTAAATCATTTACAGGTTTTGTTTTACTTTAAGACAGGGTTTCATTATATAGCCCTGACTGGCCTGGAGCTCTCAGTGTAGACCAGGCTGGTTTCAACCTCAGAGAACCACTTGCCTCTTCTTCACAAGCTGCTGAGATGAAGGATGTGGGACATCGAACGTAGCATGTGTAAAACAATTTAACAATGAAGATGCTCAAATAGCTGTAGATTTACTTTTCTACATATATTTTAACTCCTTAACCCTATAACTCAAATCATTTATTTTTAAACTATTTTTCTGTGTCTTTTGTGTGTGTGTATGAACATGTGTGCAAGTGCCCACTGAGACAAGACGATATCTGATTCCCTGGAGCTGAGTTACAGGTGGCTGTGAGCTGCTTGGTGTGGGTGCTGAGAGCCAAACACAGGTGTCAGCAAGTATAACAAGAGCTCTTAATTGCGGGGCCACCTCTCAAATCCCAGCTCAAGGAACATATAGGGACTGCTAACAACAAGGGCCTTGGGCTGAAAATTCGTTCTTTGGTTTTAGTGTCTCCAACTGAGTTTTGTTTTGTTTGAAGAGACACGACTTAGCTGAGACGTGTGGACAGTGACCTGGGAGTCAGAGGGTCTCGCTGATGCTCGTGGTCTGGTCACTAGCAAGTAACTTGCAGGCAAATGATAATGACCTAGTTCCAGTTCCAGTTCCGGGAGACTGATGTAGGTAACCACTATTATTCCACGGACGAAACCGAGGTGAGGAATGATCGAGCCATTCTTAAGGAGGGCGAAGTTTCAAACCCTGGCAGACTGTCCCCAGAAATCCTGTAGTTAAGGATTACTAATTGCAAAGCAGAATGACATGCCCCTAAAATGGTAGTGGGAGCTATGGCCCTGAAGTCTAGCTCTGTCTGTGAGTGTGAGAAGGAGGGTGATGGGAGGAGCTTCCAGGAGGAGGGGACGGTGCATCTGCCTGAACTTCCTCATCTTGTTCCCTCACCATCCTCCCATGGAAGTCTCTGTTGCCAAGCAGCCTACCTCTTGTCCACCTCCCGTGGCTGGCCCAGGTCACCTCCTTCCCTTGGAAGCTGGCCCCGCTGTTGCCACTGGACAGGTGTCTACTGAGATGACGTCACAGGGCAGAAGGCTCAGCAAGTGCTTCACGAGCTGAATGTGGACACTGCCTGTTTCTTGGGCTTCTTCCCTACAGTGTGGAGCACTGCACCCAAGAGAGGAGGGGTCTCCCATGGGGGAGTCCTGCTTCTGATGTGCTCTTCTTTCTTCCTTATGGGAACCGTGAACCAGAGAACTCTGAACCTGACTGGAGGGAGTAAATTCAAGGAATTGGAGCCTTTGGCTGAATCTCTCTCTCTCTCTCTCTCTCTCTCTCTCTCTCTCTCTCTCTCTCT